TTTGTTAACAAAAACAATCAATCTATTGATGAGCCAAATTTTCAGCCGTCCAAAAGTGTTTTATTATTCAGCTCTAAATATTTATTCGGCAGCAAAGCATAAATAAATATTTTTCCAATTTCAATAAATCAGTGCAGACGAACGAAACAAAATGTTTTTTTTTTCGGTTGGATACGAAATGAGTCATTTGGGATGAGATTCTAAGCGGAGTTATCATAACGAATCGACTTTATCATGTTGAAATAGAGCAAAAAAAAAATGTTGCTCGGAATCTAATTAGATAGAGAGAGAGAGTGGTTAGCCTGTTAATGCACTTGACCAAATTGCTAGACCGTTTAGGTTCACTTTCGTGAATATTCCTATTCACCCCCTCCGTCGTCCAACCATCGAAATGACCGGCCAATAAAATAAATCAGAAATAGCATTTTGCGGCGAGTAAATTATTATTTTTACTGTTACTGATATGGGTTGATCGGTTTATGCATCGATATCAATTTAATGTTAGTTGCCATATGAGCACATTTAGCGATTGTATACAAACGCCGAAAAATGTTCTCATATTTATTTAAATGTCATTGTTTTGAGTGGATTTTTCGTCAATTTCCTTTTCTCTGCGCACTTCGTCCAGCGCATTCGGTTTGATTTTGCTCAATAGATTTCACGAAAAAACAATGCGCAATTTTGTCCAAAAATTCCGAAATCAGACAATAAAAACTTCCAACTTATACGATGACAGTTTTACGTAGTCGTATAGAATCGTTTTTCTTTCTTCTACCACAGCACAATTTTCGTAATGTGGATTTTTATGCAAACCAAATGGTTTTGTGATTCATTCAGAAGGATTTTTTTTTTTTCGCTGGAATTGTCTGGATTATTTAGTCTAATGCGATGCAATTAATTTTTTGGTTGTATAGTTTCGTCTTTCCACTTGTTCATAAACAAATGAAGCGATAACAATTATTATGCGCTAAAGTTGCCATCTCAGGAGCCGTTAATTACGATCCAATTTTTTAAACAAATTGAAAACGCGTTTCGTTCATGTCAAATCATAGTTTGTGCAAGTGAGTCGTTGCAGACTTAAACATCAGTGACTATAGCAGACCTAAACATCTTTATCTTCGAACACATTAACGGCCAATAAAATAAAATTAATGGCTTTTTCGAATATATGAAACCAATCTTGTGCAACGTAGTCACGTTGGCAAAATTGAAATATTTTTATTACTAAAAATAAATAAAAATCGAATGTGTTGAGATTTATAAGTAGTTTTCATGAGTGTCAAACTATAGAAAAAATAGAGATAGTATTTCTTCTTTTCAGAAAGTGTTCCTCCGGATATCGATTCCAGTATGTGTCCCATTTACGGCGTACTGCTGACTAAAGCAAGGCGACGGGCGACACACACACAAAAAAATCGATTATTGTTCTATTTAGGTAATTAATCTATTTGACGCGAGCGCTGGCGACCAAAAGAAAGTTTATTGCATTGCATTCGTATGGCTTTGGTGCAACTCTCTATTGTATGTGTGCTTAATAACATCACCATAGCCAAACTGCATGACTATATGGCATTTGCCAGTAATGCAGAAAGTTCGCGAATAAATTAAACTGGAAAAAAGTTAAAGTTTTCATTGCAACCGCGTCGAATTGAAAATTTCGGAAGGTTGGTCAAATATCGTCAAATTGAACACTTTTTAATGTTAAAAAAGAAAGTTCACCACGCTACGCGTACAGTCTCTTAGTACCTACGAAAGGACTCATTTTGGGTCTAGTTTGTTATTGCATAACAAACTTTAATTGAGCCGCTACATGAATTGTACTACATCACAATGTATGGATGGATTAGATAGATCGATAGCATACAGAGTACAATAAAGTTCAGGTCACCAAAAATCAAAAAATCAGCTTAACTTCTGTATTAAATTCAATGCTATCACAATAACCAATACTCTGCATCGTACATCATAATGTATGGAAATGAAAATTTTTAAGTATCGTATTGGTAATAACGTTTTAATCTAAATTTGTAGTTAGTCACAGATAATGATTAAACATAAAAACAGAAACTGTTTTGAAACTAAAAAAATCCAAAGTTTTGGATCCTCATGGAGAAAAAAAAACGAAGTTAGTACCTTTTACATTGTACAATGTACGTCTCATGTAACGGTAAAAAGAAGTTTTCCGCATTAAAAAAAAGGAAGTTGAAGAAAGAAAAATTGGATTTTCTGGTCATTTTAGCCACTAATTAATCGGTGCAACAGACGAATGGCAATGACATTGAACACACTAAAATCACTTTTATTCACTGTCCCGATGCCATAGTTTGTGAACGAGATCACAGTAACAACGTCATTCAGCAATCATTTCATCTTCGGAGATACATTTTAACAAAACTGATAATGACCCCTCGTGTGGCTGTTTTTGAAGCATTCGTCAGGCTCAGTTGCAATTTTTCGCTGATATGAATAAATAATCTCTCTGTGTGATATGGTTCAATAAAATTTGAGCTGAAACCAAACAGTTGATTAATTTTTCCAACAATCTAACGACTTACACACTTGCAACATGTATGGAATTGGACACAAATAAATCGGTGAAATCACACTGAAATCGGTGAAATGTTCAGTTTGAAATGCACATTGAATATGAGCTAAATATATATTTCACGACCATTTGTCATCTTGTCGCTAATTTGCAAGTGCATACAATGTGACAGAGACACAGTGATAGAAATTTACTTTTACAACAGATGACTGCAGTTGATAACGAACATCATTTTCCTACTGATTGCTCGCCACAGATCGAAAAAATCTAACTAATTACATCTCGAACTAGAAAAAAAATCAATTATTCGCTTATGCTGACGTCCACGATAATTTTTGATGTGTCTTTTTTTGTGTGGCACTTGTCATTGATTTGTGTTTATGTGCAAGTGTAACACATGAGCCAATCGCATAATGTGAAAAATATGTGTGACAGAAGAGTCAGTGAACTCAGTATTCTACTTTGGTGATGTATCGTGTTGGAGTTTTTGTTTTTGTTTTTTAAAAAAACGTTGCTCAACTTGAAAATCATAACAATTTTTGCAATTGCCAATGTTTAAACTTCGGTTTTTTTTTCCCTATCCAATTTGATTTCTTGATAAAACATTTCCAATGCAATTGTGTTTTGATTTTATGCTCACCCACTTCACGTGTACAGTTTGCACAGTGGCCATCGACACTTCACTTTTTAAAACGAAGAAACACCGCCGCCGTTTTTTCTTTTCATTTCTTCGTGTGTCATTGCATTCCATTTTGCCAAGTACTTTGAACCAAAAAGAAGCATGCACGTGCCACAACTCTTATCATAGCAACACGTAAATTTTTATTCGCAAATGTTAAATCCTGTTTCTTTAGGACAAAATAAGTCAATTTTAACGACAACAGATAATACAAACGTTTCCATACAATCCAATTCAACTGGCGACTAAATGCTACACTTCGAATACAATCAGCAAACAACACATGAAGTGATTCAATCGAGTGCATCAATTAAAAATCAGTTGGCACGAAAGTATGGGCAAAGATCATTTGAAGCCGTTGAGATTGTGGTGCAGTCACCGTGTACAGGTTGCTCAGGTCAATATCAATGTGTGTTACTTTTCTTGCATTGATTCGCATGGCCTGCCTGAAAATGATACATTGAAATTGATTTTCTGATTTCCACCGATACCGCGTGTATTGGCGTCGAGCCAATGCCATAATTTACATAGAATTATGTAGCCAACCACATAGACGCGGCGATCTGATTTCTAGTCAGTGAAACAGACACACAAATTTTCAATGAAAATATGTAAATCGTATTTAATTTCCGTATTTTTGCTAGAATTCACATTTTTTTTTCTGGAAATTAAAGATGTTTGAAAAAAACACGCGCATTTGAAAACAAACAAAAATATGCGCGTTCACGTTGCAACATAGCAGCGACAGAAATGAAAAGTACAAAGTGAAGACTACGACCGATATGGCTGGTGTGCCGTTTGTGGCAGAGAAACGCATGTGACAACGGAATCATATTTATTTTTTTTCATTTTATTGTTATGTTATTCACGCCTAGAAGACAGGCTTATGTTACACTTTCATGCAGTTCCCGTCTGAGCGCAAAGACGCTTTTGTATTGCAAACAGTAAAGATGAATGAAATCGTGGCAGCGATTGAATCCAATGATAATCGGAATCTATGTTTTGTAAATAAAATTGGCCGTTTTATCAACTGCAGTACTTTGTTGCATACGATAATTATCATTATAATGAACGGAAAGAAAAATGATTGTTGATATATTGTTCGCTATGGATCTAAACCATTTTGACAGCTAGAAATCTATTGTCATTGATAGAAAAGTGGGTAAGTAGTTCGTTCTGTTGAATGAATGAGCTTCTTATTGAAGATGCATCTGAGGCAATCAAAATGACTTTTTAAAAGAAACGGCCAATTTATCGTGTTCAAAATAAGAAAATACTTACGTGTGTTCAACATCCGCATGCTTCATATGTTCAGAGTGAATGTTTCGATTTCGGAAACCACTTTGTACTTTTAGCCAAAGTCCAGACAGTACGGAAACAAAAGTTATACGTTACCTCTTCAAAGCATCTCCATCTCGTGCAGTTGTTTGATTCACAAAGCGTCTTTATGAATTGAATATAGTTTCAAGTTACCTCGATTCAAGTGAGAAAACCAAAACAAGGGCTAATAAGGAAGAAATGGATCAGAGTTGAATGATCGCTTAATGCTGTGTGCAAATAATAATACACAAAGTGGCCCACACACACAGAATATTTGCGAAAGGTCAGTCGCATGAACGGTCATGAGGTGGGATTTGTTTTTGTTCTTGTTGTATGCGTGTGCTATCACGAATGAAAACAAATCAGAAGCAAAAACTCGTCTGAAATGCAAACTAGAACTGAAATGGGAGAGAAAGAAAGTTTCTATACACAAATGACATAATATCGCCGATACTCTTTCATCTTTCAATTAAAATTAAGTTTATTTTCCTTGTTGTTTTTGTTATTTACATTTACAATTTGTATGTTTTTCTTTTCTGTCACTGACATTGCTATAACAAATGATATTTTATGTGTTTTTGCGTGTTTTTTTCTGAATCAAAATTATTATTCAAATCATTTTTGTCAAATTACGAAAAAGATAATAAAAAAAAAATGTTCGAAACAGAAACAAATATTTTGTAAGGAAAACTAGCTCTTCTTTCATTGGAGTAAATAAATCATGTGGAAATATTATTAAAATTTGAAGGATTTTTCGAAATATGCGCAATTTCCTCTTCCGAATACAACAAACTAAATGAAAACAATAGAAAAACAAAACGTTCGACATTTAGGTTGATTTTCTTGCACTTATCTTCTTTGCATTGCACTAAATTGAATTTGAATGAAACAAGTACGAACGAAACGAACAGAAAAATTGGAAATTACTTCAATCCGGGAGAAGAGAGAGAGAGAGAAAGTCTTTGAAACGGAAACTTAGTAGATGTCACTTAGCATTAATTAACATGGTAATTATAAGTATGAGCTTTGTTTTTTTTTTTGTAATTTTTTTTTTTAGGTTTTGCTTTTAAAATGAAGTTATTTGGCAAAATGAGAATGATTTTTCTTTTTGTTTTAAACGTTAAATTGGCATAAAATTCTACCAACTTTAAACTTGACTGGATTTATCACTTCAAATTTACTTGTATCCGTATTCTCACCATCGAATATTACGAAGTAAAAGTTAATTTTCTTTTCTGTTCATTTGATAATATTCAATAAAGTAAGACCACAAACAGCAATGGATCACGTTATGTTTTCTTTTTTTTTTTTTTAATTCGGTTGGAATGAAAACTGACTATTTTGCTTGCTTGCAAATCCGTCTGTGGAGATTTGAATCGCGAAGAAAAGAAATTAAACTTTCTATCGAAATTGTGTGAGACATAAAGAGTGGATCGCAATGATCCCGATTAACAATAACGTGTGTTCCATTGTGTTTGTTGTCTTGGAGCATGAGCTCCTATTTGACGTCATAGGTAGAATTCTGGTGAACTATGACCATCCGAATGTAAATCATGTGATCGATCATTTTGGCGCTGGGCAACTCGTTGCTTGATCATATCCAATTCAAGTCGCGTTTTATTCAATTCCATGCGCGTATTTTCCAACTCGAGCTGCAATTTCCGATTAGTTTTCTCTAACTCGTGACGTTGATGCAACCGCTTTGAGCGGCAATTTTGTGCGTAGCCTCGATTCTTCAATGTTCGACGTTTTTGCTTCAATTTGGCAATCTCTTCGCGTGGACATCCATGCAGGCGCTTGTTCAATTCACGCACCGATAGCGTTGTCAACAGTTCGTCGGCAATTTTTTTGGCATCAGTATTTTGGCTACTTTTCGAACCCATGCTACTCTGCGAACAGGAATTGTATTGGCCGGTTTGTCGCGGCGAAATGGTCGACGATGAACGCGTCGAACTGACCGACATCGGCCGATTGGCGTGTGCGTGATTGTACGAATTATGCACATTAATCGAAGCCATATGATGATGATCCAAGTGTGTCAAATGCGATGGTAAACTGGCGAGCGTTTGTCCATTTGGCGCTTGTTGCATATATTCACGTCGTTCCCAATCGTTGTCCAAGCAATTTTGCAGCGGCCGTAAATCGAGCGGCTGTTCACCTCGCATTGTTTGTGGCAGCCACATCATGTCTTCGATGAAAGTTGACGATTGCCGATGAGTATGACCGTACGAATGGCCATGGGCACTGTACATGGCTCCATTGCATGGTGAATAAACGTGCGGCGGTGTATCGGGTGGTGTGGATGGAACGCCATTTACACCAACGATTCCTTGAGCTGGAATTGCGCTGTGATTGTGTGATTCGGCCGTCGACGGCGGTGATAGATTATGCAGCCGACGTTCTTCGTGCTGATGCCAACCACTTGGTACGGTGATTTGACGAAGTCGAACAGAGTTTGGCATTTCATCCTCATCTACCGCAGTCCATGGGATTTTCATTGCAGCTTCTGGCTCACGTTTCACTGGCGCGCCCAAATGATCGAGTTCAAAGTCTTGTACATACACTTCAGCCAAATTCTCCATTGGACCTTCCATTTTTCGCATTTATTTTACTTTACAAAAATCCGCTCACCGTCTCTTGCACTTTTTTTTTTTTAATCAAATACTATTTCGTTCATCAACTTTTTAGTGCACAAACCACTTTTTCTCTTTAATTTTTTTTTTTTCGTTCTGTTTTTCTCGCAAAAGTTCGCAAATTCTAAATCAATAACTTTTTTTTTTAATATTGATTAATTCTGTGAATTTTTATTGAACACACAAATTTATGTAAACGGATTTTTCGACGACTTTTTATTTTCAACTGATGAATCTAACTGTTTGTTGGACAAGTTGCAGCAGAGCAACGCGAAAATGCGTGTGCTTTATTAGAAGTTCCAGCAGCGAATGGCACATATTCACTCGTCTCAAAGCATTCATACGGAGCAGATTTGAAGTCAGCGCGCTCGTGCACGAACACATCAATACACACACAAGCGCGAGCGTATCAAACGTCTGAATGAAAAGTGGTGGGTGTCGTGTTAGGCGTTGGTTTCGTTTTGTGAACGCCTTTTCGGCTGTGTATTCGTGCATTCGCTTGGCTTATGTACAACGCGACCAAATGCTTCGATTATTATACGCGATTCTTTTACAGTGGTGTGTAGATGAACTGGTGTAAAAATATAAAACGCAGACAAACACTATGATTCGTTTTTTTTCTTCATGTACCATGATTTGCACATAGAAACTTCATCACTATATAAAACAACAACACCTTAACTGTGCGTTGTGAAGTGGAATAATTTTTAGTTTTGAAACAAAAGCAGCAACAAGTGCCGTCATTATTATCATAGCAACGCACTTTCGTAGCGATGTTTTTACGATTTTGTAGATGGAAAAAATTAGCTGAATTTTGGTTGAACAACCAAGATGCGGTCGGAATTTTGCGAAGTTTTTGAAAGTGATTTGTTGTTGGTGTGTGTGCGGAATAGAAGAGATTATTTTACGATTTCTTTCTCTAAATTAAATCAAAGACACTTGTTGAAAATGATGAAGATTGTGAGGTCGTCATCAGTATAAGAACTGAATGTAATCAGACACGATGTTCATTTAAATTCATAATTTCTTTTCAAAATTGAAGTTTTTGTAATACGAAAATTAAATCCAAAATGACGCCGACTCCAGCGAGTTTTCTGAGTTTAAGCTCAAGTCACTGTTTGTGGGGTTTATTTGTTTCCCGGATAATTTTCGTTCTTTTACATTAAAAACTATTGAGTTTCATACAATTGAAGAGTAACTTACGAAATTTTGGAAGTTGAGACGGCTTTTGCAAAACCCAAAAACATGACGAAAATTCTTTGATGAAATTTAACACTTAATTTTATACGCTTGCAAAACCGACTAACGGTGCAAAATTAAATGGTCATGAAATTTAATTCTAAAGTATTTTTTTTTTCTGTTCTTTTTCCTTTTCTCCTTTTTCCATTTCTTTTGATTCCACCGAAATAGAAATACGCTGATTCAAGTGTAAGTGACAACTAATAGCAAACAAATTCATTCACATGTTTGAGTTTGTATTTCAATTTGTGCAATGCTGAAAATAGATAGTTTTCATTGAATCGAACGCCAATCGATCGTATTTTTATTGATTATTGTACACATGACCCAAAAATCGGCCGAACATTGTATCAGTATCGATCGATTTGCAACGGAAACTATGCGAGTTTGAATGAGAATTTCGAGCGATAAGCGTAATAAGATAGCTGCATTTGCAATAGACCTGTCTGGCGACTCAGCTGTCGTCATTGTTGTTGTTGTTGATAAAACATACGGACTCCAATTTCGTATTTACTATAAAAAAAAATGCTGTAAAGCAAATACATTCGGCGAAAATCGCTCGATGCACAAGGAAAATGTGTGTGTGCGTTCATAAATATGTATTGAACGGACGACCTTGCGCGCACAAGCAATTTTGTCAGAATGGTAACCGTTGCTATTTATTTCATAAAACAATTCATTACGTTGGCTCAAATTGCACTATTGTATGAATATTCTCTCTTTTTCCTTGCCTATGCATTGTTTGCTCCTACGTTTTTCAACCACTAGGTTTCATTCATTAAATAAAGAAGACAGAATCGAAGAAAAATAGAAGAAACCCATACTCACTTTTCGTTAATAATGGATTCGGAAAATAGCGTGGAGCACATTCCGTGCTGTATGAAAGTACGTCTTTTAGATAAGTTTTGATGCAATCAGAAATGAAATTTCTTACTTGATTTTGATTAATAAAATGACCTTGTCTCATTTTTTTTCAGGAGGAAATTGAAAAGACCAAAAAAATCACTTGGGACGATGGCAACTTGCAGCAGCAGGTTAACCATTTTTTTATTTTTTTATTTAACAGTAATTTTTCTACAAAAATGTTTTTTAATCATTTAAATTATCGACAAAACAAAACAATTTCCATTTCAATATCCACAGAATGAATGTCCATCCAGATGTGAAAGTACACGATCGATACACGAAGAGATGTGTGAGAAAATGGGAGCGATTGGACCATGGGCCACTGGAAAATGTGATTGGAATCCATCGAGTGGTTTGGTTGGTGTTAAACCAGTCGTTGATCATTATTCCGTAACGCGATTCAGCACCAATGAATGGCACCAACGAAACATTGACATTTACGATGAAAATCATCAAGTCATCCTCCAAAGTCTCAAGTAAATCACTTACCTTTTTTCCCATAATTTTTTCGTCATTCATTTCATTTCGAGTGAAAAACTTTCCGCACAGAGTTGAAGACAAGGGCAAAGACACAACCGATCATGCAATTGCATTGGTTGATCGACACCAGGAAAATAGTACAAAATTGCTGAGAGATCGTACACATGATGTGTACCGATTGAAAACAACACTGGAACGAGCAATACGTGCACAAATGGATGAAATAAGCAATTTGGCAGAGCAGCGGAATCGTATGATGAAAGCAATAGCTGTCTTGCAAAAACCAGAGTCTATCGGTAATATTGATCAGAGTCTAATTCCTTTATTTGTAACTAAAAATAACTAATTTCCAACAGCTACGGAATGTGTTGAACGGCGAAGTCGACGACCCGATAGCGAATTGATACGTGACGGGCCAGAGGAAGAACTTATCGAAGAGGTTGCATTGATCTCCGAGATTCGAACTGTTTTCCACGCCACACTGAATGACATCAATGCACAACAGAGTGAAAACCGAGCGGCACGTGAACGACTTGAAAGCGATTGGTCCGATAAAATGCACGCCTATGAAATTGACGCCAGAAATTCGTCGCTAAACAATCGATCACATGAGATTCTCTTCAAACCGGGTGCAACTCGATTCATGGATGGGTACTTTTGAATCAAAACTTGCGATTCGTTTTAGTTTTTCCAAACATTTTCTTAATTTATTTCGATTTTTCCGGATCTTCCTAATGCAGGCAATCCACAGAGTATTCATGGGAAGAGTTTACAATACAAGCTCTGAACGATTGTGAAGATGTGCGACAAAAATCGGTACATTGACATCAACATGATATTGCTGTTAAATGAAATAATTTCAATGTTATTAATATCATCCATGTAGATAAAATTGCGTGCAAAAGTTGATGCTATACTCATCAATGCGGCTAGAGATTTACGTACTAAAGCCGATCGTGTGGTTCGTTCGTTCAATCATCGCATCACGAACATTGATGAGGCTTGTCGAAAACTTGAGTCAGAATTGAAGGATGTGAGTAAAAGAAATTAATTTATGAATAACATTCTGATGTAATTCTAAAAGATGTACTGTCAAGTTCCTAAGCTCGTTGTTCACACAGCATTAACTTGCTAATCTCCTATATTATCTTCTCATTCCTTACAGTGCCTAAAACGCCTAGCTGATACCGAGCTCTTGATTGAAAATCTAAATCAAAATATGCAAAACATGGATACACCAATGAAGGTAGCTCAATCTCGGCTTGACCATCGTAATCGGCGTCTAAATGTTGAGAATTGCCGGGATCGTGCACACGTTGGTCTGGTTGAAGAAGTACGAAGCATCGAAGAAGCTACTTTGGCCTTATCTGTATCCATAAAAGAGGCTGAAGATACCAGAAATGCTTTGAATCAAACTCGAATCTTGTTGGAACGTGAACTGTTGCTTAAACGTCGAGCACTTCAACTGGATAAAGAGCGTTGCTTATTCTATCGCAGTCATTATCCTTCTGCAACTGCTCTCAGCGGCTATTAACCTCACATTTTTAGCGAGTTTATCTGAAAAAAATAAAATCAGTTTAGTAAACAATCAAAATTTAACAAAATTATCACTGCCAGCTTACGCAAACCAGACGCTGCTTGTTCAATTGATCCTTTTTCATTGTTCGGCTAGTTTATTGTCATCAATTGTTTACGAATAGCTCCCATCCCATCCATTGAATCAGCTTGAAGAACAAATATACCGGTAACAGTGTCAACAGCACCAAAACATAGTACAACACGTCATCAACCATCCTGCAATTATTACACGCTATTGCGAAATAGACGAATAAGACCACTTGTATACTTAATGAATATTAATATCTTTTTTGTTATTTGAATTGAGATACGGAGAAAAACAATAAATACCCTAGATTCTGACGACACAATACGATGATGATTCATTCGATGTGGAAAAATATAGGCACTGATTTAAAACGTCATGGAAATGATGAAATGTCAAGTTCGTATGAGTCAATAGTCGTGGTTCGTTTACAGTGGACTGGTTCAAATTGATGATTGTGAATAGGCCAAAGACACTATTTTGAATATTAAACACAATTTCATGGTTATTTCGATTTTTTTTAAACTCTTTTTTCGACAGAAATGAATATTTTTAAATATTTCAAATCGATTCTAGTCGGATTCTGATACAAATTTTCGATTTATTCTCATTCGTTTCATTAAATCTTGTACTATAACCGTTCAATTTGAACGATTTGGTGTCTATTGTGACCGAGCACTAAAAATTATGAATCGTATCCACCGAAATAGTAAACAATGTGTGTATTTCAATGGAAAACGGAATGACGCTTCATTGTGAAACATCGGATGACGCTAGGCAATTGAAATTACAACATGAGACGATATTTCGCAGGCATTGCTGAGACAACTGAGTGCGTGCGTTGGTTTGAGAGAGAGGTTTTCATCGATGAGCCAACAACAATAAAATACGTTCGCAATGTGCGTGGTATCGGTTGCCGTTTGCTCGTACATGTTTCGACTGGATGATGTATGCGTACGCATTCTCTCTCTCTCTGTGTGTGTCCATTTCAACAAGCTACGTAGTTCAGGTAGAGCGTGTATGTGCCAATCGGCAAGCACACCGTATTTCCTCACATGTCGAATGAGAGGATACACATGCTCATCGATTGCTGTGCGCTTGAAAATGTTTGCTCACACACACACACACATACCGCGTGTGTTGCGGAGCTATTGCTATACGTTTGTAAATTTTGGTTGTTCGCGCGATCTTATGAAATAACCCATGAGAAGGTTAAACCAAATACACATCGGCAAACGCATAGAACGAGAAAGAGGGCGAACCGCATCGAGTGCCGAAGTGGAGAGAATGAGAAAAATACAGAAAACCGCGTGTTCATTCAAAACATACAGTGAAGGTACAGTCGCCGCATTGTACACACAAAGCCAACCGAACCATGCTTGTATGATGTACGCGCACCGCAAACAACGACACTGTATATGTGCTTGGGCCCAGAGAGTATCGTTGGTTTGTTCAATGCTATCACCGTTTAGTTTGAAAATGGCCGTCTTCGCTAGCATGTGTTTCGGAATTTTCATCGCGTCGCAATAATTTCATCTCACTAGTGGTTCATATTTTTTTCTGTTTCATTTCGTTCGAGTGTGTAGTAGAATTCGCTTTCTTGCTTCACATCCAACGATATTTGTTTAGTGTTTCTCACTCTCTATAGTACATCTGTCTATAGAATTTTTTTTTTTTTTTCATTCGTATTATTCTCTGCGTGGAAGAATTCCATTGAATTCAAGAGTACTGAGAGTTATTTTTCGTACCGGGCAAAATAAAATTGAGTTGATTGAGTGTTTCTACCGTTCCATTCAACAATAACAACGGAATAAAACGTATCAGCACCAGAGTGTGCGAATATAAAAAATTTGGTTTTCAGTTTCACATTTGCTATCATATTCATCAAGAGCAAAAGCGTCTCGCAAGAAAATATAATTAAATAGTTCAACAAGGTAATGAATACCACATCTTCATTTTGGTTTAGTGATTTTTGTATGTGAAAATAGAATTACAAGCGTTAAAACTAAATAAATGGTTATTTTGTTATGTGTTTATATATTGTTGTCATCGAATCAAACCATCGTCTGAATTGAATTCAATCCACGCTGAAAATGATACAAGCCGCAAGAATGAAACGAGCCAATAATCATTGTGCAAATGTTCTTATCACGTGATAAACGACAAATGTTGTCCTGTTTTTTGCATTCTAATGAGCAAAATTCAATGCAATGTAAATGCATATAACCGGCACAATCATATTTCCTAAGCACGACCAAATTTATGACCGACACAAAACCTATGATGAAATCCATAAAACAAATTAGTTCATACACCATGATTTTTTGTTTCGTTTTTGCGCACATGCAGATATACCAAAGTGAAATAAATTTTTTTGTTTTTTTTTCGGTTGTTCATAGTGCCAACGAATTAACCGCTGCTTTTGTTAATTGCATATTTATTACATTAGTTAAACAACGTGACACATAAAATTCGACTTCGACTGAATCGCAATGGCAGCAGACCAACAACGAGTAAAAAAATTGACAATAAAATTGCGAAAAAAAGGGGAAAAATTTGAATTCATTAGAAGAATTCTATACGGTTGGTGTTCTGTTTTGAAAACGCGCGTGACCTCCATATGGTGTAAAAAAAAAGTTGCAAAATGATTGCTGTCTCTTTCACTCGAATTCATTGGCAAACAGCGACATTTGGCATTTTTCATATGTACGAGTGAATTTCACGTAGTAAATAATCAAACGAAAAACCAATTCATACGCGAAATTTAGAACGCGACGTGGTTTTTCCATATGCTTACATCAGAATGATAGAACGAAAGAGAATCAACGAGTACAATGTTTTTGTTGTGTTTGTGTGTATGCGAAAAAAAAAAATGAAAATAAACAAGTAATCGGAATTGTTGTTAACTTTTATTGAGAAAGTTAATGTCACAAATATTCTAATGTTGCGAAATTCCAATGTTGGTGCGCAAATTCAAATCAGTTCGAATGCGTTCCGTGCATTGAGTGTAATATCGATTGGCAAAACCATAGATGTACCGCTATTCGGTGTAAGATTGTGCATCACAAAATTTGCATGTCTGCTCATGTCGAGTGCAAATTGAGAAGAATTGCTCTTTGATGTTGTTTGTTGCATGGAAATGGGCTCATCACAATATCCTGTGTTGTTCAAAGTGGAATTTATTGATGGATAGCAACAAACCCCATGGCAACGCAAACACACTACGTGGTTTCATAGTGTATAGATACGGGGTTCACACACCATACGAACACGTATCCTTTGAAATATGCAGAGAGGACAGAGAAGAAAGCCGAATGTGAACAGACTTTGACTTCATACATATCGATGCGCTTTGTGTGACTGTAGTCGTTGGTCGTTTTATTACTTTCATGTCACCAACTTCGACCCATGTGAAAGCGCACTTTGTTCTCTCTGTGCACAACTATCATTGGTGTTCTATACCCATTTCTCTTCTAGTTTTGTTTTTTATTGCTTTTGTGGTCCTTTTCTGCTATCTTCTAACAAGGAAACTCTGTTTGCGACAATGAAGTACTTTTTTTTCCCTGGCATTTGACCATTGCACATAAATGAAACATTTATGTTTTTATTACTTTGTTCGAGGAATTTGTCAAATGGTTTTCTGATTTGTGGCGTTTTGCTATGCTGAGAAAAAAAAGATGTCACACACAGATCTTAGTAATTGAGGATTTTTCCTTCCTTTCGGCTCATGTTTCAACCAGTTATGGAGAATTTTCAGCAATAAAATTCAATTTTTTCTTCAACTTTATAATTATTTCCAAATGTTCTCGTTTAAAATTGAATCGTTTTCGTTCAAAATTGAATCGTTTGCATTTTTTTTTTCGGAATGTTAGATTTGTGCCGAATGACCGCACTGTGCTTTGAGCATTAAATACAAGACAATTCAGTCGAAAATTGCACTGAAACACAAACAAAGAGCAACACTGCCAACGCTGAAACGGTGCCACAAGTAACGCAAGACCTTAAAAATTTGACTTTTATTTCCATTTCGGAGGGGGGGGGGGCTCCATTATTTCAGTGTGTGCAAAACCTTGGTTCACCTTTGATTCGAAATTTAGCCTCCAGAACGCAATCGAATTGATTACTTATGCATGATGTTATTGCTTGAAACTTGTTTTGCATGGAGATGATTTTCGCTTTTCGTGAATAGAAAAGCGCCAACACAACTCACAACTGTATATATACCATAGCGATAGAGCTAACGCGCTCGTATCGTAAGATGTATCTCGTGTGTGTCTTTCGCATACGCAACCAATTGCGATATGCAGTTTTATAGATAGATTTAGATGGCAATTTTATTTCATGTTTCATTTGACTTTGAGATTTGACACCAATCACCATCATTCTACACAGCGCGTTAGCACATTTTTTTTCTTCTCTTTACGATTGTGGTCAATCAATTACTTGTTTGGTTGTTTTTAACATGTCTCGTGCACAATTTAATTTTGTCATATGATTGAATTTATTTGCACAGCAAATAAACAGCACTTTTCGAATTTGTGCATTTTTAAAATAAAGAAATCGCATTGTTTCTGGATAACGTCTTGTTGCCCAAAAGAACTTTTTCACTTATAGTACCCGAAAAAAGCAAAGACGAACCAATGAATAGCCTTTCATTAATTCAATTACATCAGCATCTAATTGGTCAATGGGTAATTCAATTAAATTCATCAACCTCTTCGGTAAAGTTGAAAAGGGAGAGAGCGAGAGAGAGAGAGAAAAAGCGATGGTGAACGAAACAGCGTGAATAATTGAATTATCGAGTTGCTTTATATTGCAAATTGCAATCAAAGAAGTAAATAAAAAGGAGCGCAACAGTTGGTTTAAGGGAAAATGCGATGGCATTCAACTGGAGATGATGCTTTACTCTCTGTGATTGTGTGGTAGTGGTCGTGACATTTTACAATCATTGCCACACACATGCTAAACTTACCGAAAATCCATTTGACCTTTTTTCTTCATTTCGCATGTATTCAATATCACACCGTCACCACACAGTGTGGCATACACACACAGCTCCTTCATCAAATCTCCTCATTCGGTTTTTTTGTGTCTTACAATATAAAATACGATACCGATGAATTTGTTTTCTTAACGAGCGATACAGCATAAACATAGGCAATTGTGTGGCTCACATACAAGCATATTGCAAAGTCGGATATACGGTCTCGTCACAGACACACACATACACAAAAAGCGGCAACGAAATGATTCGAATCGGGTTACGCAAACGTCATTGTGCGCTTTTTGATTGAAATTGAAAAGTTGTCGGTGTCGAAAATGCAATTGTGTGTAGTTGATTTTTGTCGAAAGCGATGCCGAAAGGAGAATCAAAAAGTCAAACGTTTCAAGGTCATAAGCAGCCGCGCGAGCGAGCGAGAGAGAGAGAGCCGATTGCAACAAACAAGGCGAATTGTGGCTTGGACAATCGAAATGTGTGTATGTGTGTGGATGCCTGACAAAACCGTTCGCCTCGAGACGATTTTTATCACGTACTATGACAATCTTACACGACCTTCATAACGACCACATATCATAAGCGCAGGTTAAAAAACCAAGCATTCCGATAATTCTTCGGTGTTTTTTTTCTTCATCGATGCCTCCAAACTGTAATTTAATCGAAAATCCACACACACACACACACACACGAAAATCGCGCTTCCAATCATAAATAAAGGTTGATAAGAAAATATTCCAACAAAAAAAAAAATGAAGAGAATTACATCAAAGAGGTTGCAATCGACACGATTAGCTTTTGTCGAGTGGTATATGCTACCCAATTACGCGATGTTATATTTAAGTCTTTGGTCAGGCTTAAATTTCAACCGTACTCCGACTGGCGCTTGAGTGGAACGACGCTGTTGGCTCTCACACAAGACAGAGAAACAGATGCAAAGCAAACACCGACAAAACAATTCGAACAAAAATATTTATACACATTGTGAACACAGAGTGTGATCATTTGGAGTAGACGACGACAGACGTGCTAGACTTCGATCGCTATAAACGGAATATAAAGTCATTTAATCCATTTTAGGATGATTTTATGCAAATAATAATCATGAAAAGGTGCTCGAAACGTGTATAAATGCTGGCTTGCTGTTTCGAGTTGGCGGCGATATCACAATTTGTTCGAATTTGTCGAAAACAGAGAAGAGAAGAGAGAGAGAGAGAGAGAGAGAAAAAAACGCGTTTCAGAAATTTAGTATATGCACAGCACACAACAAAAGCACGAGGGAACAAAGATTCCGAAACAGAAAAGGAGGTTTTTGTTTCGAAGGTCTACGGAGGTTAAACAATTTCAAGCAACAACAACAAAAACGAATATGATATTGCACACAGAAAACTTATCACACACACAAAAGAGTCGCATTGTATAATCCTACGCTCAGTTGACTGAGCACAGAATGCCATCTAACGACATATAATTGTCAATGTATATTGTATTTGCGCACTGCTTCTATCGTTTGCATCAATATCAGCCGCAAAATGCTGCAACAGCGCTCTGACGCTGTGAATCAATGCGTATTTTATAGCTCATTTCAATCAATGTTTTGATTGATCTTCGATCTCGACTACCTGCCTCAATTTGCACACATACACGTACCGAACGTCTGTCAACAGCAACGCAACTGAGCTGCCGCAAAAAGCGATTCGAACACACCACCATCATTTTTACTAAATCACTTTGAACGTTTTGCAATTTATGTAAATTTGAACTGTGCTGTTTTCCGAAGTCTAATTGAGAAACAAGCTAAAGTCAATGTGTTTTTTATGGTCCCTTTTCAACAGCTAGAAGCATCTCGTCTCGTATTTTACGCTTCTCTTTGTACTTTACTCGTACACTCTTGTAAATATGCATTTGTGTGCTTGCGATTAGGATTTTAACTTTATGCATTTCGTGTTTATCACCTTTCTTTATCTTCAAATGAATATGCAGGCATTTTTGTGTTTGTATTAATTTTTTTGCCCCTTTTGCTGGTTTAAAAGAATGAACTTCATTTTGCAACTTAAAAATGTAACCTTCAAAATCTTCGAAAGAACAATGCATTTCGTTGACTGTTTGCACACTTTTATTATTTTTTTTTTTCTCCCAGAGTTTTGGGAATATTTTGCTGTTGTACAAAAATGTTGCCTCTTTGTTTCTACATGCTTAATTTGGTATGTGCATGTTTTTTTTGCTCCCTTTGTTTTAAAGCTTAACCAGTAACAACAAAATTCAAATGACTCATTGTGCGATTGTGCGTAGATGTTTACTGCATACTACTCAGACCAAATAAGTTTTCGTCCATAAATGGTGATTAAGCGATTTGCCCATATATACTTTTTGTGAGTTTCTTCTTTGCGCATGCATCGTTCTGTTGAACAGAATTGGTTCACTTGTTAACATTTCAGGGGGATTTACCGGCTGGAATTTTCGACAGTAAATTTGTCAGTCAAGCTTAAAATTTTTGTGCATAAGTAATCGTGGTCAGCAAAGAAGATTTCTTAAGGAATTTTAAAAAGAAAGGCTCATCGAAATTATGCGATTTAATTGAAATGCGCTTTTTTTTGGATTTGCCAACAACAGAAAAAAAATGTCAAGAATTAAAACGTAGAAAAAAATGATTTATTCACAAATATTTTTGCATTTTCAGTTGAGACCGCTATCGAAAGATAACAAATACTGTTCTGAGTTTTCATAACTACATGTTATATTATTTGACTTGTATTAATCAAATTTCAACACATTGAACGTCATGACTTGAAATTTTCTTTGTGTCGCAACTATGACTTAAGATTATGTGGAATTGCCAATCAGAGCATTGAACAATCTCGAAATAGAGCAATCTGGGAATTGTGAATCATTCGGTTGATATATAGTGTAATTTTGTTTAAACATAACATTTCATATCTTCCGAAGTTATCGTACACATATTTTTAACATGAACAAAATTCCACTTGCGTTGTTTTCTATGGCAACAGCATAAGTAAGTACAAAAGGAATGTCATCAAAGGTTTCTAACCTGGTCGATTCAGTAATTCAGTCTAGTCAAAACTGCTTTAAGCAGTGAATATGCACTTAGCAAGCAAACCTTTCACCCCTCAAGAAATGCATTTCAGCATTACATCTCTTTGCTTGCATCTTTAGTTCAACGACCCAATGTTTGCCAACCCCATTTTCAATACCACATGCACACACAGTCACAATCGGTGCGGCGATCACTTGAACATCTTGCAACATTAGGTAATGCGTAATGCGCATTAGAACCTAGGTGTGTCAAGTCAAAAGAATGCAGTTAGTTGCATTGTTGTTCTTGCGCTCGCAGTGCATTCATTCTCATTCATTCACATTTCGATAAAGTGATTTGCCTTTGTTTCGCTTCGTTCGCAACTCGTACAAACTTGTTTCTGTTCTTTTTTTTGTTTTTTGTCATCATTCTCGTTTGCAGTAGAATAGAAGAACATTTTTTTAATCGCAAATCGTAAAAGAGTTTATCTGATTCAATTCAAACACAACAAAAGAATTTCTCATTCCATGCATTAAGTGCATTGTGAATGGGATTGCTAGGAAACGGTAGAAATTACTTGAATATCAATTTGTTCGTTTTTATCGTGCATTCTAACGGTTTTAGACTATTTTCAAAAGAATCTTTTGTTACATCAATTTTCGCGCAAAATCATTCCAAATAGAAACGCAACGGTTTCTTTGCCGCTGCTTGGGTACGTAAACGAGATTGGCGAAACAATACAATTTTTCATTAATTTGGAACACGATTTTATACGAAATGTTTGTCAATTGAATCGTAGCAGTACGAGAACAATACAAATAGAACATAGATAACCGAGGCAAGCACAAAGTCGTGCAAAAAACGGCAACAACAACACCGCACAGGGCAAGAACAAACGAATAAAATAAATTTAAAAAAAAAGAGTAGATAATTAGCCTTAGAGTGGAGTTCTTTTTATTTTTATTGACATTATTTTTTTCCACACCTTTGTTTCACAATTTCAATTCCGTGCAACGCGCCCAATATTTCTTTTAGCGATTTGTATAGTCTTTATTGGCCGCAATTTCCTTTTGGTGCGGTCCGTTCGGTGTGTGAGTGTGTGGTGTGGCACGCTGCTGAATTGATGCTCACCGAAATGAATTCCGTACACAGTAAATTGAGCCACACCAGAAAAACTAAAAGCCGAGTCGCTCCCACATCGTATTTGTGTTTCGGCCCTTTATTTTTCTGCTCTGCCGTTCGCTTCTCAATTCTTTTAATTCCTTTAATGCATCGCAACGTTGACATTGAAATTTATTCCACAGACATGTGTTTTCGTACACTATGACCGGTTCGCTCTGTCTCTCTTTGTGTGTCGACGTCAAAAGGTGTGTGAGCTTCTGATCATTTTACTGGGCTAGATTCTACGTTTCTTTTTCGTTCGTGCCATTGTCAACAAAAACATAAAGGTTTAACCAAAAAGAAAAAAAAATATATATATGTATAATTGATAAGCGCCAGCCACAGTGGGAGCAGCTGTTGATAAGGAAATATATGTTGAAAGTGCCGTAGAGTAGAAAAAAAAACTGTTTCGTTTTGGGAAATGATGAAATGACAAACAAACCACGACGTTGTTGTGAGTGCAACTCACAAAAAACAATTCCAATATGATTCAATGATGACGATAATTTTGACTAATGTGATGCAATAAACTGTCCCTAAATTAACAATTGTTTTGAAATAGATATTTTGAGCATGGCTATACATTACGCATTCAATGCGCACACGATGATAAGTTTTAACATTTACAATAAATATGCTGCTCGCCAGTGACATTCTCCATAAAATATTTGTGTCGGTCGAATCATACGCTTGCCAGCAATTGCATGACATTCTTTGTTCTGAATGTTTCAGAAAATTCTACGTCTATAATCCATATTCATTTTGTTTTCTTTTCTTTGTTTGTGATTTTACTCCATTACATACCTCGGCATTTTATTGGCACTTTTGTTTAAATGCCACACAGTGACATTGGTGTAAGTGGTTTGTCAATGTCAACAACGCGTTGTAACCAACGAATAATAATTTCCGATTGTAATCCATAGCCACCTATTAAACACATAAATGCGAATAGTTTTCAATACCAGGGAAAACAATATATTATCAAGCATTTCAAGTTAGTTGATATATTAATCAAAGCAATCGCTAATCGAACACTGGCGACGATTCCCCAGTCATAATAATTCAGCACATTTCAGTGAATCGATAGAAGAAAAAAGAACAAGTCACGCCTTTTGTTCGAGACTATTTAACCACTGATTGATGTATTACACACAATATTTCATACACAAATGAAACTTTTTGAATTAATCATCATTTTTCAGCACTTTTTTAATTTCAACTTCCGGTTTAATATCCAGTTCCTTATCTTTTACACGTTTGTCTTATCTTTAATTTTTATCGCTTTGTCTTTTTTTTCCTTTCCACAGGTAAATTCCTGCTGCTTCAATTTTGCAATTATCAACGATTGTAAAATACAAACGCATGTAAAACCCGTTACCGTCTGCTGAACGACCAGAATTTCAAACTGAAACACCATGCATTTATAACATATTTGGATTAATATCGTCGATAACTTTTAAAATGCACCGAGTTCAAACCGATCGATTTACATGGAGTAAACAAAAATAATGGAATAAATGTTTAAGAACATTGCGGAATTCAATTAAAACCAACAAGATCGACTAACAAGTGTTCAGTGGCAGAAAAATAAACAACAAATATATAATAATAAGAGCAAATATCTGGGAAAAAAGGGTATTTTCGGATTTATGTGATAGACTCAACAAAGAAAAGAAAAACATAAATATAGAACCGAACGGACGTACCTTTTTAAAAAAAAATCGTATTGATATCAATTGACTCAAAAACGAAACGAAGAAATTCAAAGTGTTCAATATCATTTGCATTGTAAATAATTCATAGGAAAATCCCCATTGTGATTGTGGTGAAAATATTGATAGCCACAGAATAACAGCAATTGAAATAAAGAAAAGAAGAAGAAAAAAAAGCCGCCGCAACCGAAACGACAAAGGAAGTGATAAAAACCCGATTTCATTATAAAACATGGAAAGTTCGCGTACATCGAGTAATGCGAGTGCAACAAATACGGTGGCCGATAAGCCTGATGAGCTGGTATCGTCAGGCGATGTTCGTCAATTGAATTCGAGTCAAGGTCAGCATGGCGAACCAGTCACCACGGCACAGGGTCACGTACAGTTGCAACAGCTAAACCAGCAGCAGCAACAACAAAAGAAATGTCTTCATCATCGCATTTTTGATGCGAATACCGGAAATATTGTGAATGAACGTGTTGCCGCACTTACAAATGCATTGCTGCAGCAAGTAAATCAACAAAATTTGTCGCAAGCAACACAGCAATTGATTCAACGACCGTATCCAATGCAACAACAATCGATTCCACAACAGCAATCGCACATGATTCGTTCGCACCAGCAACAACAAATGCAAGCGTATCAACAACCACAACAACAGTATCCAATGCAACAAATGCCCCAATCGATTGCCATCAACAATTCCATGATGCAATCGAGCGGTGGCTTTACAGTCGGCGTCAGCAACAATTCAATGGCAAACGCCTCAACATCCAGCACAAATGGATCGTTGATCCACAATCAAAACGGACTTGTGCAACAAATGAATGCCGCTCTGTTGGCCGAACGATATCTGCTGTTGGATTTGGTCGAGGGTAGTACACTGTACAAGTGTATTGATGTGAAAACACACGAAGAACTTGTTTGCAAGGTACGTCAATATTTTTTTACGATTTTTTGTTATTAGTTTTTGATTAGGCGCATAGGCAGCTATCTTTTGTCATTGATAAAATTGATAGGCAGACACATTGCGAGATAAGGGGATAAAAGACAAGTATCACCGATGACAAAGCGACAATGCTTTCGTCTTTGTTTTTCAACGTCGATTTTTTCGGTTGAAACCCATTATGACTGTTCAACAGAAGCATAAAAAGTAAAATTTTAAATTCCCGGAACGAAGTTGGTTGACATGGTTATTCGCGCGGCAAACAACCTACTATACCTTAAATCACTTTCATTATGAAGTGGAGATCGTTTAGACGATTTATACGCTGGTCAACCTTGATTTTTTCCAACAGGCACGCGTTGTGTCTTGTCGTCGTCGTCTTTGTCGTCATCTTCGCGCTTTAATTTGCTCAAACAAAGTCCAAGACCACACATACTCCCAACCTAATCAACTTTATTTAGCTTCATTATTGCGCAATTATGCTTCCGCATCATCATTTCGACATTAAACTTCTGAAAATGCCTGATAACACAGCGATGAGAGTTGGAGTCTCTTGACAATTTACAGATTTTGTTGTTTTCTTTGTTACTCTGTGCTAAAGAAACACATTGTCTATCTTATCACATATCGTCAATCACAATGTATCGTACGACAATCGTCACGAGATGACGAGCACAACACAAATTTATGATAAATAAAAAATAAATACATAGAACGCGAATGACGTTTCATACATATCAAAGGCTGGCAGACAACAATAAACATGAAATTACGATGAAATGATCTTTTGTGTATAATTTTTCTTTGAAATTGTTAATGCTTGCATGTAATTTTTCTGAAAAGAATCATATGTAAGATGACTCGCAAAAGGACTTGAATGCGTTTTAATTGAAACAAAAATAATTTTTGGCTAAAAACATTTTTTCCTGCATCAATGTTTCAATTCAGATTCAAGCGAATGAAATTATTCAACGAATTTTTGTGACACACACATTTACTAACGAACTTGTTTTGAGCAAGTGATTTTTTTTTTCGTAAAAATCACCGAGATAATAGTAATTTATACATTAAACGGTGGCTAACCTGGGGGCTTATTTGCCATCGCTAGTCAGTGCTGACTTGCACAAATTCACTTTCGAGTCCTAACACAGGAAGTACAGCGTATTCATAACAAATCTATGAATTAACTCGAGTCAATCGTTTTTTTTTCTCAAAGAACCAGTGACTCGCAAACTCATATGCAAGACTCGTACAGTTGCCAACATTTTTCGTATTGACTCGTTAGAATCGTATGACACATAAGCCCCTTGGCATCAACTTCATTTTATGTCGAAAGCATTGAAAATTAAAATGCAATAAACGCATTGAAAGTTCGCGAACTGAAATTAAAAACAAAATTTTGATCGAAATCGGTTTCCACACCCAATTTTTATTACGTGCAAAAAGTCACGGTTTAAACCATTCAATTCATTCGAGAGAGGACGAGAGCTCGCAAGAAAAAAAAAAACATTCCAAAACATATGCTTGAGTTCTGAAGTCTACATGCGTGTCGCCATCACGCGTTTTTGGTGCGACGATGACTTGTTTATCGCAGTGTAAACAAAATCAAGAGCGATTGTGCTTACATCATGTTGCGAATACGTCGTGCCGATTAGAACGTATTAATCGGATTTTTATTTTTTGCAATAGCGTCATCGATCGTACGTTTGGTGTGTGTGCGAAAACTCGCCGAGAGACGATTAGAACAAGATCATGTGTATGGAAACGCTCGTTCGCTCGCTCGCTTGCTGGCGCGTGCGTACGCCTATGGTATTGAGGTTCTTGTTTGCTCAATATATCGTATGATGAAATTAGCGTAGCAATGTGTTTGTATATATCGATCTGCTAGAAGCAGTTTACGAAATTGATCAAATATCATTTGGTTCGACAGTTTTATGGCTAGTTATGAGAAGCCAAACGCAGTAAAGTTCACATACACACACACACGCACTGATTGGTTCGTTGTGTATTTTGTTTCTCATTTTTTGCGCCATATTTTATCAGCGATTTGTAAATTCTTTCTGAATATAATTTTTATGGCGTTTTCTCAATTCGTCGATGAGAAGAGAGAAAAAAAAACGGCGACAACACACACTCGAACAGACACGACGGGGCAATTGATTAATTAGACTTGCGTAACAGCGTTCATGTGTGTGTGTGTGTGTGTGAAGAAAAAAAGGCAGCAAATTCAAACGTTCAATCATCGAGTTATCTCAAGGTGATGCATGTTAAGCCACTGCACCAGATCTAAAGCGACCTTTTTTTTCTTCGTTTTTTTTCTGTGCACAATTTGCTGAAACACTTTTTATAGCAGTCAATTGAAAATTGCCGATAAAATTGTTTGTTCGCTTGTTTATCGATTGTGTTGCACTCTTACGCAACCATTTTGGCTTTATCAAAGTCAGAATTGGTGACAGTGTTTTGAAATGAGATCAGAACGAAACAAAAGATAATGCATACAATCTCGCGTTATCTTTTGATGTACTCATTCTATTCACTCTCTCCCCCGAAAAAAAAGAAGAATGCCACACCGTATCGAATTAGATTTAAGATTAAGCACATCTTCTTGCACACAACTGCAGTGGAAGAAGAAGAAAAAAGTAAAATTCATGTTCGAAAAAACTGGAGCGATCAAAGAAATAAACAGACATAGTTCACAACATATGAACACATGACCCAGTCCCAGATCAACTTTTTTTTTTCTCTTTTCGACACCGCATTTGTCGCAATTCCTTCGGCATATACGAGTGTTTCTCTCGCTCACTCTCTACATGCAATCCGAAAGTTGTTTATTCCCTTCATTCAGCTGTAGAATGAGACTCGTTCTCAAGATTGTATTCAAGCGGACGACCTATCAGCGGACAAAACATTAAATATGCGGAAAACAGTTGAGAAAGAAAACAGAAATGCTAAATAATAATCATAACAATATGAAAGAAAAAAAAAAGAATACGTGTTTATACTAATTCGATGTCGAAAGAGACAAACGCACAATTGTCGATTCGACGCTCGATCGTATTCAATTTTACGTTGACGATGGTCGCAATCGACCTATTTCTTTGTTCTTCGCATCGTTTTTTTTTTTCTTTTCTTTCGTTTGTTTCTACGATGATTTCGATGTTGTTGTTGTTGTTGTTTTGTTTTTGTTTCCTCACTTCATTCGTCTGTTTGTCTGTCTGTCTGTCTGTTGCTTTGAAATCGAAGTGTACAAAACGATAAAAAAAAAAGAAAACGGTACCGCTGAGTATTTTATTTTTGAGAAATTCTTTATTAATCGCTTTGCGACCTTTCCGTTTCGTTATGTGTGTGTGAGAGAGAGCGAGATACATCGTAAATGCGGTGAATCGTATGCGGTGTAACGTAATTGCCCCGTCAACTGTTTCCCTATCCGAACATGTTTGTATGGTATATCTCTGTAATAAGTCCTGTTACATAATGAACAACATCAACAAACGGAACAACATATTCACCGACAGGATGAATCATTTCAAAGGGAAATGAATTATTTCTCATTTCCGTTTCAACTTTAGAGAATGTGTCGTTGTCTAGTCAGTCTCGCGTTGGGCGCTATGAATACAAAAATTCTTATTTATTAGTTGAACCGGAAAAATACTTAAAAAAAATTCTTAATAAATATTTCTGTTTTCTTCTATTCGTTTTTTAGGTTGCCAATAATCCGTGCACAAATCTATTGTCAGCTCATTTTCGATTAGATGGACACCCGCACGTAAATCCATTGCACAAAGTGATTCAAGGTTCAAGCCAAACATATTTATTCTTCACTCCGTCACAGGTAAGAAACGCATTCGAAGCGGAAAATCAGATTAGTGCGAATGCTGAATGCGAAAACCGAGCGAACAACAAACAAGTGACATTCATTCGGTTTGATTCGTTTTCGGCGTTTGGTTTTTAAATCTTTTTTTTCGGTATGTATGAACATTTGTAACCGTATTGTTGGCCTCTCTTCATTCTCAGGGTGATCTCCATTCATATGTACGTGTGCGTAAGCGTTTACGAGAGCCAGAGGCGAAACGTCTGTTTCGTCAGATGTGTGAAGTTGTGAAAAGTTGCCATGAGCAAGGCATCGTGTTACGTGATCTCAAACTCAGGAAATTTGTCTTTGCCGACGCTGAAAGGTAGGCTCAATATGCAAATTATACTAACAATAAAAACAAAAACAAAACATATTCAATACCGACAAATATAGAAGACGGGTTACACACGCCTTCGTCGAGACTCGCGCGCGACTCAAACATTGCACATTTACTACACATGGTAGTACTTCTTTCTTAATTCCCGCGCGGCCACTCAATTCATCATCGTTTCAACTAGACGAGAAACAAAGAAGAAAAACAACTCAAAATTTAACGAAACATTGCGAATAAATAATCGAATTTTTTAATAAAATATTCTTGCGTATTGTAATGTCGCTGGCTGTAAATGTGCAATGTCATTTTTAGTCTAAGATTCAAGGCAGAGCAGTAGCAGTATATATGATGTATGTGGCGAAAAAAATGGTATATGAAATAGGTTTACACAAGCGAAAAATTCGAAATCCACGAGCGTTAGTTATGAAGAGAGAGAGAGAGAGAGAGAGAGAAAAATATATGAAAAAGACATTCGTGCGTATACATATACGTAGCCCCGGTACAATAGCAAAACTAAAATTCAAGTTTAATAGGTCATTGCACAATTTGGTTTTTTCCCTTTGTCTTTTTGCTCAGTGTATTTACTTTTTTCTTCTGTGTGTATGTTGCGAGCTTCGGAGTTTCTTTCTGTGAAGTGAGCAAACGAACGAGGAAAAAAGGCTTGAAAGACAAAAGTCACGATCACTTTGTCGAACCGATTAGATTAGATTTATCAAAGGAAAAATTGCGCTTTTACAGCAGCAGCAGCAGCAGGCGGATGGAATTGAAAAGTGGAATCGAAGTTTAAATTGAATCATAATAATGAAACGTCGAACGGTAGCTTATTGTTTTTATTTTGTTCATTCACTTAATTCTTCAGAGAAAAAAAATTGGTCAGGCAATGCTGCGTTAAATTTATTATAAACGTTTCCGTTTAACATTTTCGTTCGCGCAAAACAATTGCACACAGAATAAACATACAAAACAACTAAAACACATCGTATTTACCATGGCTATTGTTAACAATCCGTTTGATTGTTGCTATTACTCTACACCGCCCGTTTGTTGAAACTTGAATTTAATGAAAATTTCCTCTTGGCTTTATGGTGGCCGCATTGCGCTATTATTACTCGAATATGATCATATAATGAGTGGTAATGCAGTACGTATTTTCAATGCACACACACACACACACAGCATATACACATGTATATATTTCTCATAACCTTCAGCAATGGCAACAATGGCACTAAAATATATCGCGTAACACCTCGACACCATTTCATAATTTAAGCCATACGCATACACCACACTTGCAGCCCAACACTTGCAGCAAATCATACCTATTTTGTGGTTATTTTTTGTTTCATTTCATTATTTTTCGGTTATTTTTTTTCTGCATTTCGAGCGATGCGTTCGTTCGGTTTCATGTCTTGCTTCAATATAGTCGCTTGATGTACAAAATGAAGTTGTGATGTCATTTTTTTCGAAAATTGTGCTCACTCCCACAGGTTATTCTCTCTTTTTTTTTGCGCAAGTACCATAATCAAGTCAAAGCTTATCAATTTTGTTGTCGGCACGATTATCGTGAACGATTCATAATAATTTAACGACCAGAACTTATCATCGTTTGGAATGTTCATTGCAAAATTGTTCTTTGTTTTTCTATTTCATTAAACTGTGTAATCATCAAATGGTGTACGTGTAACGGATACAAATAGAAATGCTTGTACTTGACTTATTTATGTGCCAGACAGATTTTTATACTTAAACATCAATTGATTTACTTCGTCTTCGGCTTCGATTTGATTTTCTTGCATTGTGCTTGTTCTATCGCTCATTTTAATTACTGGCTTTTTCGCTCACCATCATATTCTTGCGACACGTGCTAAATACCTGCACGAAACAAAACAAAAAGAAAAACACACATTACGCGCACCTGAAAGAGACAGAACAAACAGAAATTGTTTTTCGCTGCTACCAAAGCATCAAAAGCCCGTGCGCGAGCGTTGTTGGAATCCAAAACATTGTGCAACCATTTGAGAGATGGGTGTTTGCATGTTTGTAATAACAACAATATCCAACAAACCGGAATGAATGTCAAGAACAGAAGCAGCAGTATTAACTATATTCTTTTCCACATCGAGAGAGAAGAGAAAAAAAAATGATTAGCATATTCACTAGTAATTTCAAATTGCATAAGCTGAATGGATGACGGTGTTTAGATGTTTTTCGCCTCGTTTACCCATTTCTCACGTAACTGTTTTGTGGAGAAGGAAAAAAAAAAACATTCAACCTGTGTGTATATGTTGTATGATGGTTTCAAACCATTGGTTTGAGGGCGCCATCCAACATCGGTTCTTGTCAACACGATGCAATGCGAACATCGATGCCAAAGCGAATAGCGTCACCCAGCTCTCGGAATCAGTGACGTTCGCAATGCAAGTCTACCGGTTATCATGCCGTTGTCGCAGAGCTACGCAACACAATTCCCTTTGTGCACTTCCAACAAAGCAATAAGAACCATTTATTCGATAAGAATATACGGGGAAATACAATGTAATCGTAAACAGATCGTTTTTCAGAAGTTCCCATACATTGTTATCGCACCATTGTCAATATTTACTTTTTTATTTGAATTTCAAACATTCCAATTTAATCGCGACAGAAATTGCGCAAGCGGATTCGTTTTCGTCCCTACGAAAATTATTTCATTGATTACGTCAAAAATGTGTTATTGCGATTTCGTTGGATTTTGCAATGAAATCAATTATATATGTGAGTATGATGGTATGTGTCGCTGCCCACTTGAACTGAACGCATTTCGACTTTGGCGCAAGAACATTTGGCCGTAAAAATCGAGCGATAAAACGGACTTGAATTCATGCAAATTAGTTGATTGTGTTAATTCTTTGTTGGTTTCGAAAAATGACGAGCCAAGAGATAAAACATAGAAAAAGCGTTTGGCAAAACACACAAACACACACACACTGATCTACCGAAAAAAAATTCTGCTGCTTGAGCAATTACACTGCTACATTCATTGCATAAATTCTTATTTGATTTATTCAAAAGGTCACTGTTGCTCAGCGTTTGAACTGAAGACGAGCGTGTATGTGTGTCGGTTTGAATGCTATTCGAAATGAATCGTATGAATAAAGCGCGTGTGGTGTAATCCAAATATTGCCGCACAGTCACATACATACAATTCAGCTTGATTTGGACCTACAACACACTTACGAGGTGCTTACACATGCTCACAACACAGCAAAACCGAAAACACACTGAAAATAGTATAACGACACAAGCAAACAGCCCGAGCCAGCAGTTTAAATGGGTGAATAAACGCGTTAAACTAAAGAAAAACACACAAAGAGAAAGAGAGAGAGAGAGAGAGAAAAAAAAGCACAGCGAACAAACTATCAGCGAAGCTATTTGGCAACACATTATTACTTCATATGCATGAAAATACAACACACCAGCGTTTAGCATATTTGTTAACATTTACAGTTCTACTGAATTTCAATGGTTTCAGATTTCTTTTCGGGTGACTTTCGGTTTGTGTAAGAACAGATTGTTTTACCTTTATTTGGTTCTTCTGAACCGAATCAGCAGCAGCAGCAGCAGCAGCAGCAGGCAGCACCAACAGCAAAAAGAATGTACACACAACAATCGACCCGTTTGTTGGCACATGTGTGACACAAAATACCGTTTGTCTGTGGCCGATGATTTGTTTTTGCTCGGAAAATGGTTCAATCCATTTGTTTGTGTGTGTGCGCGCAATGCAGTGGCGCCTTCGGAATATTCTTGCCAATTTGACGATTAGCAATGGATTAGTCAACGGGTGAACAACAAAAATCGCGAAATGCAATTTTCACAGTTTTACTTAAATCGAATAAATTTTATGGCGCTGTCAACGTCAATGGGACATGCAATCGGGTCTCTCTATCATATGCTGTTTTGATGTGTTTTTTATGAGTGTGTGTACATTTTTCATCAATTACAACTTCATGTTGAATTTAAACGCTCAACTCAATCGTTTCACAACTCAAACAACAAATTGTCTTATTTGTTTTTGAGCTACCTCATTTGTTTACTTTTTACATGCTACCGTTTCGTTTTCTTTGCCTTACACCGTCGCCTATTTTTTTCGCCTTCAGTTTCATTCAACGTTTTGAATCCTGAAAGAGAAATGCTCCTTGAAAGGAGGGCATAGTGGTTTGTTTTTTCCTGCTTCTCTTTCGTTGTATCGATAAAACACCGTCGATGCCGTTTGATCGATTAAAACTTGAAACGAAACGATCAACTTGTTTTTAATCGAGAATAATTGCTCGACAAAACACTTTGATCTAAATCTTAATGTCAGTACGGATTTTTTGTGTGAAATGTTTTAGCTTCAATGCCGCGACACCGCGCGCGCGCGCGCGCATACTGACCGACAAAACGCCATTTGAACAACTCGCGTTTGTTGTAAATTCCTTCCCCAACACCAACAATACATTATCCAGCGTTTTACACCAGTTGACAGTCTAATTGATAGATTGATTCGGTTGTGGAAATATCGCTCCGTTTTTTTTTTTTTTGAATAGCTATCAATTTTATGTCTGACCACATGCACTGGAAATATCGCCACCATTTACTGTTTGACAATGTCTATTGTGTGTTTAATTAATTTATGAACAAAGAACTCGGCAAACGTATTGAGTTGAGTTCAGTTCGTGCTGATTGCCCGCAACCGATACCAGTAAATCAATGATTATTAAACAATATGGCCTACCACTAGCCGAGCTTGGTGTTTTTCGTGTGTCGAACACATGCAGCGCGCAAAATTCGATACATAAATTGAAAATCATGCACACGCAAAAATTTAACTTGCTTTTTTTTTCGCTGTGAGCTATTTATAAAAATTTCAGCGTGCATTTTCATTTGAAATCGGTTTGAAATTGAGCGTTGCATTTGAATTGAATAAATTATGAATTTTAATTGGCTCGAAGCTGTGTACTGCACGA